ACTACTGTTTCTTCGGGAAGAATAAATATTTTAAGCAATCAAAAGCGTAAAGTGCCAAAAGTGCCGAGACAAATTTTGTCAAATCCAACACTCCGAAAAACGTCGGCATTGATAAGGGGTATTAGAAACGTTCGAATATGCACTTGGCCACAAAAATATTTCTCAGTGATTCTGAACTATTTCTAAATAACCCCGATTCGAGTTGCCCTGGAAGTTCGAAATTTTTCGGCCCACGTCTGTAATTTTATACGACCTTGGGATATATATACTTACTGCAACATAGACATATAACGGTAACCTGCCGTTGCTACGATGTAATGATAACCATGCGCAAATCGCAAATGTCCTGTAGGTACACATGTGTTTGTATACTCCTATTTTTAAACATCCTATATTTTAATCAAATTCACAACTCAAACCGAATTATGTAATCCTGCGGTCCGAAAATTCCGCGGACGGAAGTCTGTTTACCTTACTGGTTCCGGTTAATAATTTTGTCCAAGTCGAGAATATTTTCGTCATCTGAACAAAAAATACAGTACCTGTACAATACAACCTACCATCAATTGCCTGAATCACCATTTTAGTGTCTTCTTGCGACCAACTCAAAACCACACTCAAGGTAAAGCAACCGGGCTACTACCGGATGAGATCAAGCGTTTCTACACAGCCAACTTTTGAGTATTGTGACATCATTGAGCGTGAAGGTAGGTGCAATGACTCAAAATTTATATTTACCGTAATAACCATGTCTTAGCAATTAAATAAAATAAAAAATTTTAAATCTAAACGGAAGATATGGTGATTCTACGGGTGTATTTTTTGGACATCTTCAGAATCAAGTAATCAAATTAAAATACTGTAATTTACTATATAAGATATACTTATGCAAGCAGTGAGAAGGAAATAAAAAAATGATTAAAAAAAAATAGAAGTACGGTAGAAGTAGAAATACGGAATATTCGCTACATTGGTTCTCGGAATCAATAACTATCGCATAAGTCACAATTTATTTAACCTTATTCCGAAGTCTCATCGAGTCTTGGCACCTGGATGAATATTTTTGTTACCTCCACGGTCCTCCTCTTATTCACCTCTAATCTAGTTAATTAAACCTACTGCTTTCAGGTGTCTCTACATGTTACGGTCTCCTCAAAAAATACGGAATTCATGAAGCAACGACATATACTTTGAAATCATCGCCTACAAGTCAACCATTCAAACTGTTTTGCAATTTATCTTCAGATAAAGGTGATCATTACTATCTATGTAACCAAAGAAAGCTATTGTGTTCCCGTTCTTCTCACAGCCACTCATCCTTCTCGTAACTGGGTCAGCTAATTCTGTTCAGCCTATTTGGCCACGGCCCTTTTGGGGGAAATAAATCTACTTACGGACGAGATTGCAATATATACACTATAAGACTACAAATGACATGCAATCCTTCGACAGGATACATGGTACCAATAACGCTAATATATATATATATTATATTTTATAGTGGTTACCGAAGTATCTCATGATATTGAGAACGAAATAAAAAATCCTAAAAGATGTCTGGATGAAGGATGCTACTCGGCAACACCAGCGTACAACCTAGGGAATGAACATATTGTTGAAATTATCGCAAGTTCAAGAGAATGTCGTCAATATATAAAAGTGAGCAGTAGTGACCAACTTGAACTTGTTTGAAAATTGGTTGATATGGTACTATTTTCATATTTATTCTGGGGGAAAGGGAAGTCGGTATTAATCATCTGGAAACTACGGACTCTCGTTCAGTTACCATTTCATTTCGAGTAGGCCTATAGGAACAGGTAACTATTTATTCTTTCCATATGTATGAACTTGGCTGTGGAGAAAGCCATAACCGACCAGAGTTTACGTTAATCATCTACCGAAGGCGATGAGGAATATAGGAATAGGATTTACATATTTATCCCGTGGGAGAGGAAAGCCGAGGAGATGGCTTAGTCATATGGCGAACCACGGCCTCTCGTTCGGTTACCAGTCCAGGTCGGGTATGGGATCAGTTAGCCAGTTATTTGTTTTTGGAAGCATGGACTTGATAGTGGAGAAAGCCGTAACCGACCAGCGGTTACGTGAACCACCCTACGGCGGCGAGGAGTCCAGCAATCCTCACGCACATGATCATTCCCGCATGGGATTCGAACCTGCGATCTCACATGAGTCCAGCAATCCTCTGACATATAATTATCCTCCCCCGAACTTGAACCTGCGAACCAGCACAGAATACCCGTGATAATAGTAAGAGTGTAGCATGGAACGACGAGCAATAACAAAGCGGGGTACCAGGCATCAGATAACAGTCATTGACATTGTCCATTATTATATATACTTAACTAGTTGGGTATGGGTAGGGTAGCCTATGTTGCATTTACAATAATAAAACTCCCCAAATCTGATCTTCTTTGTTTTTTATTATTTTTAAAGTAAAATGGCGTCTAGAGTAGTAAATGTCCATGTTTAGTGATAAATGTGCCGCGACATAAAAAAGGTTGGGAATCAATGTTCTAGCTAGATGGTGCTGCCCTCGCACACATATATCTTCGATAAAAGTGAAGCTTAAACAGAGCAGTTAATGTTTTTTTCCGTCGAATAACCTCACCATGTTTTCTATGTTATATAACGTACCTTCTACACGTCTACAGGTCAGATGCACAGGAACATACTTTATAAATCAAGGTTACGCATGGTGGGTTTCGCGAGATGGACAGAAAATGACCTATTGGGGAGGAGCGACATCTGGACGAGATAAATACTGTGCTTGCGGTGAAACAAGTATGATTTAAATGTTATTTATTATAAAAAAAAGTAGAAAACAGCTTGGTTAAAAACGACCCTAAATAAATACTAAACCAATATCCAATTGATTCTAAATCAAAAGGCGGGGGAAGCTGTAACCCACCAGCTTTATCACAATGCGGGCACGTCATGACTTGGTCTACACTCTACAACTTTCGTCGCTGGAAATACATATTAGCCAGACTAATCAAAGTTACAGCCAGTTCTTAATGCAGAACCGTAAATGAATCCCTCGTTACATTTTGTTAGGACATGTGTGGGTGGCACATCGTGCTAAGCGTCAGCATTACCCTTCTCTTGCTATACTGCGTGGGTTTACAGGTTCGAACTATGCGATGATTAATTATCTGCGATGGGATTGCTAAACTCCTGACCGCCATAGGGTGGTTCGCAAAACTGCTGGTCGGTCACGACTACCTTCATCGCCAAGTACATGCATCTGAAACGAATAACTCGCTAACTCACTAATCCCATACCTGACATGGGACTTGTAACCGGAAGAGAGTGGTTTGCCATAAACATCTTATCGGTTTTCCAGGGATAAATATGATATTTTATCTATTCAATCCAGACTCCTGCATCGTGCAAAGTTACAAATGCAACTGTGATTCAAATGATAACAATATACTCACGGAAGACGGAGGCTACTTGACAGATAAGTCAAAGCTACCGGTAAAAGAAATAAAACTAGGAGATCAGGATGACGCTGGAGAGCAAGCTTGGCACACACTTGGAAAACTGGAGTGCTTTGGAGAAGGTAAGATTCTGAATCTCGTAAATGTGGTGCCCTATTGGACCAAAAGTGTGCGAAATACTAATATAGGGGACAAATGTGCATCAAGTGATAAGAGCCGTTATCACCCATGGAAGATATTGAGGTCGTTGCACGAATTTGTTTCCTTTATATTTTCATGCCACGCTTCACGCGCGAAATCTGATGGCTATCATTTTGAGTTAGCAGTTATTAATTTCGACTAACTTTCCTTATAGTATACCGGTATGTCATCAAATGTGGGCTTTCATTCACCCCATATCCGCGGGGCCGTTATCACCAATGAATGCACTTTGTTTTCAAAATTGAAAATTACCGATGTTTCCCATATCCGGGATGCTGAAACTTCTAATACCTCTAGAAAACAAACTAACGCTTGGAACTTTTTATGTATAATTGTAACCAAAACTCCAATAGTCTAGAACGATTTGCACGATAAATGATGGGGGGGGGGGGGTGTGTGATGGAATTAATTAGCTCTAATCAGTGCATTATAGAGATTTATAAAAACAACTCACACTTTATTTCCGTTTCAGCTTGACCACAAACAACGAAACACACAGCATGTGAAAGTTTTATTTCAATATTTTGTACAAAATTTGAACCAATAAAATGATAATTCAAGCAAAAAAAACTTGTGTCATTATTATGGTTGACAGTTAGCCAATCTTTATTCCTCCATTAGACCGGACTTATTTTTGCAGACAGAAATTACAAACAAAGAACTAAAACGATGATTTTAACAAACAGAATTAACAATGAACATAAAGCGACAAGAAGAGTTTTAACTAAATATATAATAGTGATTGCTGCAAAATTTACTCGTCCGTTATTAATGCAACACAGCTGGAAGTCGCTATTTCCTAATTTCATGAGCTTTGCTGTACACCGCATAGGCCATTGCCCTAAGAAAATAGTTTTCTAATAATCTTCAGTCTACTTATATAAACATAAAAATGAGATATTGCAAGTTGAAGTTTGTCTAACCCATACAAAAGCAAATTCCTTTTGTTGTGTATGAGCTTAATTATAGTGGCACACACTATCATTGGAATACAAGGTTAATACAATACTACGATATTTACTATTCAATGCATTGCATTATTTGCATTGGGGCAAATAGTTAATTGTTAACATGATTTTAGAAATTAGGTTTTGTGCAGTAGTGGGATTCAGCCGGTTCGCACCGGTTCTATAGAACCGTCTCATGGAATTTTTTGAGATCAGCGAACCGATTAGCATTAATGGTTTATTTACTAAATAAATATGACCTTTTGTGATAGAACCGGCTAACAAAAATTTTGAATCCCACCACTGGTTTTGTAGAGGAAAGAGAGCCCCAGACGACCAGAATTAATTTGTGATATTATGTTAAATTTAACCTATTTTTTTAATCATCTTGCAACATGATAGAAAATTGAGTCCATATTGGTATTTTGATTATAAACGAAGCTCTAGTTCAAGACTCTTCCATGGACAAAATTATGAAAACAACAACTAAATCAATAATACAAAAAAACATGAACAGAAAAACGACTAATATTCGGCAGTGTTAGTGAGCCGGTCCTTCGATCGTCAATAAATCGGTTTTCATGGAACGATCGTTGGAGTTCAACTTCCGTAAAACTGAAATTAAAGCACAGTAAAAATATATAAATCTCTGGAAGAGGTAGTAAGAAATTTATTAAAAGGTTTATTCTTGAAATTTTGTTTTAATGCCAAATGTATACTATATATAGTAATCTTCCTAAATACCAATTAAAGTTAAGCAAAACTCGTTGAATATATTGAGAACTGGCATTACAACAAAATTGTTATTGATTCGTCTGTTTTTTTTTAGTTTTAAAATTTTGCTTCATAATTTAAGAAGTATAGCAATATGAGTACCTTTACACAACTTCATGTAAAGTAGGCAAACAAAATTAGTTACCTCCATATTGGTTCACATATTCCAGGAGCGTCCTTACTTCACCTATAAAACTACTGCATTCATTCAAAATCTATCTAGCTATTGCAAGGAATATTACTAACCGATTGTCCAGGCATGCCAGATTGTTGCTGCATATGTCCTGGGGACTGCATCATTTGATAACCTTGCTGTTGGTACATCATTTGTTGACCTGGCAACACAAAATATTTTGAATAAAAAGACTGAAATTTTGAATTCAACTCAAAAAAAAAAAATTCTAAATTTTTACAATTTCCGAATCTCATTATATTCAAACAGGATAAGATAGGATATTTATATTTTTCTTGTGGAGGAGGAAAGCCAATGAGACAACTTAATCATATGACAATCCACGTTCTCTCGCCCGGTTACCGGCCCATGTCTGATGTGGCAACATTTGGTCAGTTATTTGTTTCAAATGCCTTGACTTGATACACTACAGATCTCTGACATGATAGTCTGGATTCAGGATTATGCCAATGTCCAAATATTATTCAAAATGAATCGAATTGAAGGTGGTAATCGCTATAGACAATTTTTCATTTCAAAATTAGTATTTTCATCATTTACAGACAGAAATATACATTATACAACCCCACTTACACTAAAAATAAGAAGGTTTATTCACGTTACTGATATAGCAGAAACGAGTAGATATACCTATTCTACATCAATAAATTCAAATATTAAGAATTCACATTCATATTGTTTTTGACAAATATGCGGGTTACACAATTTTCATGATTATATGAACCTACCTGGAACTACAAACTGTTGTTGTTGTTGTTGTATTTGCTGATAACCTCCCCCGCCTTGTCTCATTTGCTGATGATAATCAGGGGTTCCTTTTAAAAAAAACACATAGTTTTCGTTGGTGGTGTACTCTCAAACTGGGTAGGCATAAAATTCGTACCCTAGACCAGACCGTTAACTGTAATTAGTTAGGGGCAGAAATTTATAGCAGCATCTGGACAGCCAGATTGAATCACCGATTGGGCCAGATTTGGTCCGCAAGCCTTAGTTTGCCATGCCAGCATTAGGCCATAATACACATAAATGATAATATTGAATGATAATAATATTATATGATAACAGAATGTACAAGGTTTACTCATATAGGCCTACATCTTGGCAGCCAAAAAAAATCCCAATCAGGCTTGTTCAAACCTGTAGTGATATTTACTTATTTGATATAGATTTAATTCAGTGCTTGAGATCATAACCTTTCATGTAATTATTATCTTACTCTGGTATGCCCCTAGTGTAGGATGGTTCAAACCCAGGCCCTGTGGCCCGCAGCTTCATTATCTGTAGCCCGCGACCTTTTCCAAAGTTGAGATTTTTGCTTCAAAAAGCTTAACGATGTTTGAAAACTCTTACTCAAAGTTTTTGTTCTGTATTGCACTGTTTACCTATTCCTGGCCCGCGAATGATGAAAAAATAATTTTGTGGCCCCCCGAGGTCTACAACCTTTGAACGCCCTCCCCCTGGTGTGCCCTGTCCTACCCTGCCCCTATGTATCTGTTTTAAGGTTCATGGAGTGAATACAGTACTCTGAGAGTTTATTCTGAATAATATTCTACACTCCAGTTTAGACATCAAGGGTAGAAATATTATTACGTACCTTGATGTACTGGTGATGTCATAGAATGACCTGGTGATGTCATCATTGTTGATCCCATCAAGTTAGGTTGCCTACAGAAAACGTAAAATTTGATTTATTTTCTCAACCAATAGAGAATTATTTTGACAAAAGACTTGGAAATTACACTTTAGGCATATATATACAACGTAACTCGAAAGAAAAACAGAACTTGTAAGTTTGTTAATGGGTTATAGGAAATTAAATTTTGTTTGCGATTTAAATCTGTTTGTGTATGAATGTGCCTAGAAGTTTCAATAATCCAGGACACTTCAAATAAAAGATATGTTTTCTCTAAATATGCTCCGATTAACCTTGGTTCTATTTTTTGAGAAAATTTAAAAATGAAAATTTTGTTATATAACGAAGTCTACATCAGATCATCAGATGGATCATTTTGCTAAAATGGTTGTTTAGAGAAAATCGTTTTTCTCCACAGCTAATAGACATATGGACCAATCAATTCTAAATCTTCAGTACTTTTGGGTACTCCCGTAGTCAGTGTTCCCTCTAAGGTGTGCGCGCGCACACAGCTTTCAGAGGCTGCGCACACACATAGATTTACTGCGCACAGACGTATTTCGATGTAATGTAACAATGTGCTCGGTTGGCAGGTTGCGAAAGTTTGTTGTTGGCCCACTTATTACCCCATTAGAACGCCAAAATTTCTTCATTGGTTTTTGCACAAATATTAGTCATTTCCAAAAAAGTGCGCACACTCTGCACACATACTACAAAAAATTAGAGGGAACATTGCCCGTAGTGTATGTACCAAGTTAGGGTTAGGCTATAATTTTATTCCGATTTTCCTTATTTCGGTTCTATTACGAGTTCGGGGACTGTCTGTGTTAGCCCATAGGTTTCAGTCCCTTTACACAACTTGATGTAAAGTAGTAATGAACTCTGAAAAGCTATATTCCATATTTAAAAAAAAACGATCATTAAATCTGTCAAATATAGCAAAATTTGCCACCCTTTCTGAAGCTATCTCGAAAATACTCTATTGTCTATTCTTTATATAAATTTTGTTATTCTGACATGGATAATAACTAACGTAGTACCGTACCTGATTAAATTTGCGTCTAATTTCCTGAAATATTCTACTTTTGAAGTCAAGGATAATAAACTTGATAAATATATATATATAATCTGATTTTTCTGCCTAAATTATCTATCATATACCATAAGGCAGTGGTTTTCAACCTGGTACTGTAGCACCTTAGAGTACCAAGAGGGGTTCCAGAAGTTTACATCCAAATTCAAAATATTATATTAATATATGTGCATTGTTAAATATAATCAAATACATATTAGGTTAGCCATCATTTAACTTGTTACACTTCAAGGACTAATTTGTTCTGGCAGTATTAGGTTTGCTTCTATATAATTTTATAGTTCATACCAGTGGTTCCCAACCGAGAGCTTATGGCTCATAAAGGGGGGCCACAGAGAAGTTGGGAGAGGGCCCCCATACCAGACGCAAAACTGATTTTACTTTTACTAAAAGACCCCCCATTACTCTCAGTTTCATTGTTTGGTAAGGTTCTTATTTCACAAGGTGTTTTTTTCACTTTGTTGAGCATGAATTGTTTAAACAAAATCGTATTTGGGAATCTACCAATCAATCAAAGTAAAAAATTTCACTGGAATGATAAACACTCGAGGGCCATGAGGGCTAAAAGCCTCCAGAAAAGGGTAACAAGATATAAAAGATTGGGAATCGCCAGTTCATACAATTCAGACAATTACCTATTGCACAGGTCAGGGGTTCTCCCGAGCTTCTGGAATGTTTCAATGGGGCTTTGTGAAACAAAAAAAGTTGAAAACCACTGCTTTAAAGTAGATATATTAAAGTTCCCTGCCTCAATACTTTTGTCTTTTTCTTGGTTTTTCCGAATCCAAACATCGTTGCAAAATTATCCTCATCACAGTCACTGGACATCGGAGACATAGGAGAGGTCAAATGTCGCGAACTTGATTTCGCTTTCTTTAACGCGGCAGCAAACGGGTTATCCATCTCACTCTCGCTCCCCTCGTCCCCACTATTGAATAAACTATCGAGATCGAAATCAGCATTATCAGTAAACTTTGACCTTTGCGTTGTACCTCCGCTAAGCAAATCTATATTTTGACTACTTTGACTATGGACGTCACGAACAACATTCGCAAAAGCTCCAAACATTTCATCCTGATTTTTCGAGTCGTTTTCATCCAAAAGTAGATCGACTACATCGACATCAGAAATATGGGTGCGAACAGTTGCGCCAGATCTTTGCGTCAACGGAGATAAAGGAGCATTCTCGTCACTCAGAGATTCCTCACTCATAAAATCCTCTTCATCTTCACTCTGAATTTTTCCGATGAGTTTGGTTCCTCGTAAATTCTTGGTGAATTTTGCGAAAGGATTTGCCGATGTGAAAACATCCTGCGTTGTTACAACCTTGGCGGGAGATTTTAACGAACTTTTTTGCGAACGAGCATCTTTGAATACTTCGTCTTCTGAGATGAAAGTTGTATCGTCAGCTGATAAGAAGCCATCTTCTTCCATTTTGCTTTGCGTTCCGGACAGTTGATCAAATTTTTCAGACTTTTCAAATTCTGCTTTTTCTTTCTCGGATAACTGACTACCTTGTGATATTGATGGAGTAGTCGCAACGCTCTGTTTGGCAAAATTTTTCAGATCTGGTCGAATTTTAGCTATTTTCGTTGTTTCTTTGGGTTCATTTTTTGTTGTATCGTCAGTAAATTTTTTGCTGATGTCAGCATTTTCCATCTCAAACGAACTCTCCTCCGAACTCAATGATGTATCTTCATCTTTTCTGTCATTCTCCTTCCTTTCAATTTCATCCCAAAAGCCGAACAATTCCTCTTCTACATTCACGTCATCAATTGTAACATTCGGATTACTTTGAATATTTTTGAAATAGGAAACATGAGCTGGGGATGATTTTTCTTGCTCAAATTCAGAGAGTCGATTACTTCTCGCGTCTCTAGTTCTTTTTCCACCTTCCTGTATTTCCTGTTTCGATTCACGTAATAATTTCTTAGGCGAACTTTCAATTTCTGGCGATTCTTCATTATATGAAAACACTTTTCTATTTTTTCTAGAAGACCGTCTCTGAGCAGGACTTTCCATATCAATATTTTTTCCTTTTTTCAGAACGCGAGAAGCTTTTTTGGCAATTTTTTCAGGCGAAAAACTCTCCACAGCATCTTTGAAGTCAGATTCGTCATTTTCATCCATTGATTCTGCATCAGTGACCACAGATTTTCTCGGTTTTAAATTTTCATTCTTTTTCTTTATAATTCTACCAGAAACATCTGAATCCATGGCTTTATTAGGAATTTTATCAGCATTTCGTTCTTTGATTCTTCTTGTACCTTTTCTCCCCGCTGAACTCTCCAAAGTGTTTGTCGTTAATGCCCCATTTTTATTTCCAAATTCATCAATTTCATCGCTAATAATTTCAATTCCCGTCTTTTTCCGCTTTCTGATTGGATGTGTACTAGTCTTTTTTCCTTCATCTGCACAATTTTTGAATTAGCAAAAAAATGGTTCGATAACACTTAGGGATGGTTAAATAGTCCAGATCGCAATTTGGATGGCCTCCGTAGAAGGCACATTGGGCGGTGCTCCAAAGTATGTGCACCAAGATGGCGCACAACCTGAACATAGTAAGTGTACCAGGTTAGGGTTATCAGGTTGTGTGCCATCTTGGTGCTTGCTTATCAAGTTCACAAATGGATGTTTTTCCTAACCTTACACCGGAACATTTACCTATAGTTTACCATTGCAAAATTTCGGATGCTCATTTTTTAGTGTTTTTTGAGAGCTTGCAAACTCTTCAAAAGTACAATTTTGTTTCAAAGTATTCGAACAGCTGTCTGAAAAAGAAACAGCAGCTAATTCTAGCTTAGTCTCTCCCATTTTCGGCTACCGCAACTGGACTGGGAATCTTCCAAAGACAAATACCATTTGTCAATGAGTTATTAAATTTATACCTATATTTATTGCCACTAAAAACTGACAAATCCCAGACAGAACAACATGAAAATATCAAAACAATGGGTATTAATGTCAAATGTGAACCAAAATGGCGGATACCGGAATGTAGAAGGTGTACCAGGTTAGGATTAGGCCATAATTTCAGGTACAAATACTACTTGGTACTACGGGGAGTCACTTGGCTAGTCCCCGAACACGTAATAGAACTAAAATAAGAAAAATTAGAATAAAATTATGTCCTAATCCTAACCTGGTACACATACTACGTTCCAGTGTCCGCCATCTTGGTGCTCATATTACGGGAGCACCAAAGAATGTGTGGAAGCTCATTTGGGAAATAATGATAAAAAATAACGAGACACTCACCAGTATTCGAACCACTCACTGAAACCTCCTCAATAACATCCTCGTCTCTCACACTCCTCTCAGAAACATCCTCAACCTGTACCTTTCTCAATTTCTTTCTGATCTCACTCACGTCTCCAATATCAGAGCTTTCCTGACTTTCAGAATCGAATATGGAAGCTAACATTGATGTTTTTCCTCCTCTCTTGGGTGTGGTATCTTCCTCACTCACTGAAACTTTATTTTTATCTCGACGCTGCCTCAATCTACGACCTTCCTTTCCACTATCAAGCCATGATTTGAGATCTCTTTGATTGCCACTGAGTAGAGTTAGGGTGGAAAAATGTATCAGTCACGTTGTAAAAATTAATTTTATATGGCAAGACATTTTAAATGTTCAAATTGGTCATGTATTCAATACTTTACGAAACAAAAAAATGACTATCCGATGGAAAAGTTGGCTCTTTTAATGAGTGTTGTAATCATCGCAATGTTTTCACAGGGTGACCAAAAAAACGGAACATATACAATATGTTCCGAATGAACCGGGTTCCGTTGTTTTGGGTCACCCTATAGAAGACATTGCGTGGAACATTCAGATCCCGATTTTAAAACCCCACCCTTTTTTGAAAATCCTGGCTGTTCCTTTGAATGATCTTTCTATTGGAGATAAGTGTAAACGCAAATTTTATCTGCTAGTTACAATTTGCAGTTTTTCTTATTTTTCTCAAAGCAAGTCTACACACTCCCACGAAAATAACATAAATTTTCACAATACCGATCATATTCGTTACTTACTGTTGCTGGTATGATATAGAGGAAACGTTAGCGTCATCCATTCGCATTTGTTTTGGAGGAACACCATCACGTTGTACTGTTGATGTGTGCTGGGAAACATGAAAAATTTCAAATTAATAATTTGGTTCTCAAGAAACAGGTGATTTGACCTGCCGTGGGAGAGACTTTACAATAAAAGCATCACAGATTAAAATCTCACCCCACCCTTATGCCTTACATTGTTCAATAAATTGATTGATAACCTTGTTGATATTGTATTAATTGTACTATTTCCTTTTTTCGTTTTTCGATTGTGTCCACCATGAAAGAACATTACCTAATACATAAGGCGACACCGAAAAAACGAAAATTACCATACTCGCCTAATAAGACGATCCCCCAAAATCAGGCAAAAAATTTGGGTCTAGAAAAGCGACTTATTCGCCGGGAAATACGATATATCTATTCTGATATTGCAATATAAGATTGAATTATATGATGATAGACAATTTAACAAACCTTATTGCTGATGACCTTCCCTAAACCAAATTAAGAAAAAGGGATAGTGCCCTAGTTGGTCATATAATTTTATAAACAAAATGGAAATCTTGACTTGAAATTTAAATTGATTAAAAAATAAAAGTGTGATAGCCCCAATTGCTTAAACCCCTACGCCCACCCAGAGTGCATTATCTTTGGTAGGAAAAGCTAAACCAAAGAGTAATGTCAATAAAAAGTTCTCATTTCACGCTTTTAAAACGCCTTGTTCAGAATGAAATGCCCCATATGGAAACTTACTCAAAGATAGTGTGAATATTTAAAATTCTTCCGATAATAATAATCATTATTTTTTTCACTACAATGTGTACTTTAATGATATTCAGAATTAAATGAATATCTAGTGTTATCAATCGATCTTGTTCAGAAGAAAAGACAATAGCGTCATCTGAAAATTACTGAGGTATGTGATCTAGTACAAATGGCTTTTTACCTGTGGCACAGGGTTCATTGGTGTCATAGGTGCACCAGGGCTCATAGGTGTAGCAGGTGTCATAGGTGTTCGAGGTGCATCCACGTCACCGTCCACATTTTTCTTCTTTCTGCCTCTGCGACCCTGGATGAAAATATTACAGATAAATGAATGTTTCCCAATTGAGGAATTTAGTTGTTTTTGAGGAGAGAATATAGAAATGTCACCAAATTCACTAATATTGTTTATTATCTGGCATTATTTTAACCAAATTTATGGGTTTGTTATAAACGATTCAAACTGCACAAAAGCTACATTGCGACTTGCTAGTAACGCTTGTTGATGATCCATAAAACATTGAACGAATGACGAAAACATGGTTTTTATGCACAGGGAGGGAAGGAATAAAAAGTTCCAAAACAGGCAAAAGGAGGAATTTATCAAAAAAGATTGGAACCGCCTGAGGAAACCTTTTTGTTGAACAAAGCCCAAGACAAGCAGCTAAATATGTATTTTGATTCGCTTTTGCATGAACAATTTTATGAAAATGTAGAATGCAGAACTGAAATTACTAATTTTTATAAATAATGTGTTTGAATTTCTATAGAGCTGTGAGATTGAAGAATTTAGAAGTCACATTTCACCTTCATTGGTTGTTTCATAATTTCAGCGTCATCTGATCCTTGTATTAACGAGTTTCTATAAGTTACGAGTGGAATCCATCCTAAAAAATTACAAAACTTATTATTTTCATGCATTTTGCTCAAAATAGGGCACAGTACAAGCAGTCACTGATATTCAACAAGATTTCGGGAGAAAGAATAATATTAATTTTCCCTGGTTCTGCTTGGCTACTTAACTTTTTGCACCCCGAGTGACGTGGGAAGTCCTTCAACCTGGGATGGCAGCAAACAAACAGAGCTAAGCCAATGCTTTCGATATTAAACAAAATGAAATAGAAACAATTGGAATAGAAGACAGAAACTGAATAAATCTCTATTCTGAAAGGATTTTGAAAATGTTCTGGAACTTGGATATAATCAATTTACAGTGATACCTCAGTAGTCCAACGGCTCGACACTCGAACAATTCAGTAGTCTACCAAAAAATTTGGTTCTCCCGAAGTATGTGAATCAAGATGACGGACACCGAAACGAAGTATGTGTAACAGGTTAGGGTTAGGCTATAATTTTAGGTATAAATACTACTTGGCTAGTCTCCGAACTCAAAATAGAACTAAAACAAGGAAAATTGAAATAAAATTATGGCCTAACTTGGTACACATACTACGTTCCGGTATCCGCCATCTTGGTTCACATACTTCGGGAGTTCAAAAAATTCAAGCCAAAAATGCTGCTATACCGAAATGGAAATTCAAAGCTCAAACATCCAAGCTGAGAGCACAGTCGAGTGAGATGACGTCACACAACCTGAAATTTGACTTGATTCAAAGTTTGTGGACCTGCACCCAACAGTGGAACTTCATAACGAAGAGACTAACCTGCTGTCTGTTGCTTCAACATATGTGGTTTGATATGTTTGTCCAAGTAATTCACGCTAAAGAAGAGAAATAAAAAATAGCAGAATATCTTTCCTAATAATACGACCACGCTTACTACAAGATTATACTCACAATACTTGACGACTAGATTAGACTATGCTACAGGGAAAAATATAGCCAATGTGCAAAATTCGACACATTGAGTCTTTTTAATGCGCCTGTTACCTTTTCGAACCTTTTCGGAATTTCGAACCCAATATTAATCACTACGTCATCGTGTCACCCAAAATATGATAATATTAAATCTATATGTAGTTCATAGAATGTTAGTCATTGTCTACATTTTCTTCTAGTAATAAGTCAACTTGTGAGCGATGAAAAATATGAATGAAATTCAAAAATTCTGACTTACACAGTCTTACGATCTTGTCTCATCAGTTTGGAGGAAAATTCGACGAGTATGAGAAGGAAACTCAAGTTTTCAGGAGGATAATTCTCATTGTAATGATCATCGCTCTTCTTCAATGCAAATAATATACCTTCCCTGGAAGAAAATTTAGAAATTTTTTTTTAAGAAAATCAAAGCAAAAAATATGCTTTGGGGTGGCCAAATTGAATTATTTATAATTCCGATAAATTTCGAAATTACATTTTCAAATAGAGCGTATCTAAAATATTCGGAATCGGGTTATGATCAATAAAGGGTACTCCCGAAGTATGTGAACCAAGATGTCATACACTGGGTTCTGGGACGTAGTAAGTGTACCGGGTTAGGGTTAGACCATAATTTCGGGTACAAATTCTACGGGAGTCACTTGACTAGTCCCCGAACTCATAATAGAACTAAAATAAGGAAAATTGAAATAAAATTACGGCCTAACCCTAATCTGGTACACATACTACGTTCGGGTGTCTGCCATCTTGGTTCACATACTTCGGGAGCGCCCAATAAAGAAATTAAAAAAATATTTTTACTTGTGAAGGGCTGCAACCGCATCTCTGGTTTTAACTTGGTCCAAACCAAAAGTAAGTGATAATCTTCGAGCTAATTCTTTCAAATGTCCGTACTCTTGAGAGCTCTGATCAAGCGAGCCCCCCTGCATACGAATAGTCTCTCGGTACAACTGTAAAAATAATGAGGATTAAATTATTGAAGGAACTAGTGTAGCGTTTCCAACACGGAAAGGGCTCCTCTCCCAGACATGAATTTTGCTGCATTTGGAGAGGAAACAGAAATAGTACTTTGCATTCAATGTAGATTCACTGATATTGTTTACAATTTAATGTTATTGCAATACATATTCAATGATTCGTTATAAACTATTTAAACTATGCAAACGATTAGGAAATGAGAGTAACACTAGACAGGATCCTTGAAAAATTGAACAACTATCCGAAATAGGCAAAAAAAAGGGTGTTCCAGAAGTGCGAGTACAAATATGTAGGTAACTAATTTTATTCGCCTATTTTAGATCAAGTTGGGTAAAAGGAGTGGAACATATAGGCAGGGGTTATATTCACTTGGCAAACAGAGACAGTCCCCGAACTCGTAATAGAACTAAAATAAGGAAATCGGAATAAAATCATAGCATAACCCTAAACTGGTACACACACTACGTGAGTACCAAAGAAAGAATACATCAATAAACAAAGGGAAACACTAGCCTAGTGAATGAAATTTACCAATGTTGACTCTCCAGGTTAACAGTCTATCAAGTTACTATCCCATGTTCACCAACTCAAAACCGACAATATAGCTAAATTGGGCACAAAATGGAGAACCAAAAAGATTCGGTCTTTCCATAAAACAGTAAATAATCAAGAAGAATAAAGGTCAAGGATTTAAGTTTCACAGTACAGTTATGATCGTGTATAGCTTTAACGGATTTACAAAAGCTAGTTTCAGATTTACAGTTACTGACCCAAGCATGAGCTTGAAATTGTCAAAAAATCGATAGCAACTCGCAATTTGTTTTTTCTTGCGATCCAAAAACAATTAATAACAATTTTAAACAAGTTTTGCTTTGTGTAAATAAAAAACTACGTACCGACATGATGCTGAGGGCGAGTGTGTGAGCACAAGCCATTTTATTTGCATGTCTTGCCCTGCTGATCGTTTCTTTTATAATATCACCATAATCGGGATAAAACCTAAACAAAACAAATTTACTGAAAAGTCAGTGAAGTGTTCAAGTCATCAACACCCAAGGTCCAAATATAATTTCGCTCAAAAAAGGAAAAGCTTGAAGCTTTGAAACAATTTTTCTCTCATGCAAGATGTTATTAAACAAAGCGAGACTATGAAGAATTTGGAGTCGAAATCATATTTTCAAACTTTCCGATTTCGAAATTTTTGCCTGACACCCAAAAAGTGATTGTTTGACTCCGCTTCCTAACAGGAAATAAAATAATATTCGGTTTACTTGAAGTTTAAAGAGTAAGTCAAGATTTTCTTCAACTTGGAGTTGGGAGCTGAGTTAAAATTTTTGCTAACCCAGAGTCGAGATTCTGAGTTTAATTTTTTACGTTCTGACAGCATGCACACTAATCTGAATTATACAAACATTCTTCGCCCTTGCAGTTATACCTGATATACTGCTGGAATACTGATGCAGCCAGTCTTAATTCAATCATGTTGAAGACAAATAGTTTACAGATAGCAGCAAGCAATAATCTTCTGTGATGCAGAGCATCTATCTTGGCAGTGTCCTCTTCGTCTAAATAAGTAAAAAGTAATTGACAAAAAAAAAAAAAATATATTGAAATATGCTTACTCCATACACTAACTCAAACTGGGCAATGGGCACGCAACCCCCTTGTGGGTCCTTGATAAAAAAAAATTCACTAAGCGCCTATGCGCCATTAGTGGTGAATACATTACCAACATAGCATTTCAATGTCACTTGAACCGCTTTTAGACCCTTGAAACGCACATTTTTCCGCCTCCCGCCGGGCCTGTTGCTGTTACAGTCTAGCTTAGTAATGAGAACTTTCAGAACCTTTTTTTAACTCCTGGCTTCGTGCCTGTGTCCAGTGGTTATAGCGTTGGACTAAACTATGTTAGCATACCTTACCGAGGTATAAAAGTTGTCTAATAAAGCAATGCCGTACCGGAAATAACCGGTTCTTCCAATAAATAGTAGCCCTCTTACACATCGTTAGATATCAGTGGGTGCTTATGAATGACCATGCTCAGAGCGGATGGTGTGAATATTGTATAAAAAAAATTGGCGTTCCAGAAGTATGTGCACCAAGATGGTAGACACCGGAACGTAGTATGTGTACCAGGTAAGAGTTAGGCCATAATTTAATTCCGATTTTCCTTATTTTAGTTCTATTACGAGTTCGGGGACTAGCCAAGTGACTCCAGTAGTTTTCGTACCTGAAAATATGACCTAACCCTAACCTGGTACACATACTACATTCCGGTGTCCGCCATCTTGGTGCACATACTTCTGGAGTACCAAAAAATCATGAATGACTTACCATCATCATCATCCTCATGTACAATGAATACATAGGTGTTAACGAAGTCGATGAGCAAATGTTGTACGGTGTCAGATGGTCGTTGAACCAGGGGTCGAAGGTTAGGACAACTGTGTGCAAGTTGAGGAGAGAACAAGACAATCAGATCACATAATGCCATGTAACTTGCTTCCTTCACCTTTAAGAATATTTTGATGTAAAATTCAAAATAGTAGGTGGTTGCTAACTGGTTTATTTAGGGTGGAGACTTTATAGTAGGCTATGCATATTGCTGCCTCAAAACCAATGTGACTATGAGACATTTTCCAATTTTTTAAATTTTCTGATGAAGGGCTATTTCTTGGTTCCTAGCTGTGTCTGCTTCAGTTTTGATTTTATGTGGTGCCTTTTGTTCATTTTCAATTTGACGGTTGGAACTAAACTATTACAAAAATATAATTTTGATGAGTGGCTCTTGGCATTTCAGTGGTCATACTTAACTTTGAGAGGAATTCAGTTAACTTCTGAGTGAGTGCTATGAGCAAATTGCCTCAGAATTCACCATTTTTCCATAACCTTCATTATACTAACCTTTGGATGTGGAGACTGTGACAACAGTTCCTGACACGACTGTAAAAACTCGGTGACTTTTTGTCGAAGTTTTGCAATGGCTAGCTTCTGATCTTGAGTAGCAGACTGGCCTCCATCTTCCTGATGTTTTACGACCGCAAGATTATACATCAAATCGCAATGTAGGAACTTGATAGCTTGCTCCAACATCTGAATATTGAATCAATTTTATGGCACATTTTTATAAACAGTTCAAGTAACTAGTGCTTGTATTTTCTCTGTCATTGGGCCTGTTTATATAGGATGATTGGTTGATTAGGTTATTCCATACCCAAGATGCATTGGCAATAGGATGAGTGAATATGGCTGAAGAAATGGGTAACCTTCTTTACCACAGAATGAATATGGAAACCATACGTCAAGTTGATACTCTCATGACACGGAATATCAAAAATGCAGCACAAAAAATTAACCATAACATGGTCAGGTTTAACAAACAAATCTATCGAAAAATCTTTGAAAACAAGACTCACATCCTCTGGGACCGAATCAGGTTTTTCTTGGTACATCTGCAGTATAGAAGACACACTGGGATGCAGTTCGCAAGATAATATGTTATTATGCATGTAGATTTGTGTCAATCTTTTCAATGCTTGCACTACATTGTATATTTCTTCTTCATCTGCTCCATTTGTTGAGTCGGAAGTCTGAGAAACAGAAAAATTTTGGTAAGAAGTAAGAAATTTAGAAATCTCATCTTTATTGAAAAGTAATTTTGTCAAAATTTAACAATAAACCAACTATACTAAAAATTTAGTTATCTCATTACAGTAATTTACACTTATAGCAAAATGTCACTTCACCCAATACAAAACGTATTCCAGAATCAAAATGAAAAAATTTGCAATATCAAATATAATCAATTTTGAATACATTAGCCTCCAATTTAACGCATGCTGATCGCTATTGGTGAATGGTGAGGCCGAGCAACGTAAACCAAGGAAAAATGGTCAGTCACGCTTTAGGGACTTGAAACGGCGTTCCAGTGAATTTTAAAAAAACCTGAATTATTACCAAGTAATAGATTGGATATTTCATTCAAAATTCCGCTGTTTTATGTCATGGAAAAAAAATAGTATTTATTCCGTCAAGCATGACTGCCGGCGGCACGGCTGTCCTTCATTATGTGAACTAGATCATTTTAGATAAACTCAAAACAACAAAAGAATTTACCGCATCTTTGAAGATATCTAAAGCCAGAGTAAAATTCTCAGCCCAAGTGTCGATGACAGTCTGTCGTTCGACTTGTGCCTTGTTGCACATTGTGTAATCATTGTCACATAGTTTATGATAAGTCATTGAAGCTTGTTCCAACAAATCTGCATCTGTGTGTTTGTCGATGATTGTCGACATTTGTCGAAGCAACATTTCCAAATGTTTTTCAAGTCTAAAATTGATATTATTGAAATTAGTTTTCTACTAAGCGAAAGAGTAGTCATTATTAGGAGGGATGGTCTAGCACAGTGGTTCTCTTACTATCTGTTATTTGTAGGATATCGTTAGCTAGTTATTTTTGAGGTGGGGGCGCAAGAAAGTTTGAGAAACACTGCTTTAGTGGATCCTTAGCTAGCGATATGCGCAAGTAGCATTCCGCCTTTTATTCAAATCGAATATTTAAAATGAGTAAATATGTATCACAATAATACCAATTAACTCATACAAAGTGAAATTTTACTTCCGGAAACAGGAAAATTCTCTTACTCATCCAAAAAGGAATTTCTCACCCGTTACGAAAGTCTGCACTAACAAAATATGGCCCATATCGTCTTTAAATTAATCTTTGTGTAACTTTTACCTGCTGGTTGTGTAGAGTTCCAAATCAAAGAATCTTGGGATTTGTAGAAGCATGGTGACCTTTTCCTTGTCAACTTGATATTTGTTGAGTAAAGATGGTAAAGCGACAATAAAAAGTTCAGTCAAACGGACTTTGTCTTCTAAAGCAGTTCGTTTGTCTCTGGTAGCAAGTTTCTGTATAAAGTTGTTATTAAAGATTAGAGAATTGGGTACTCATGTAGTATGTGCACCAAGCGTATACCGGAAAGTAGTATGTGTACCGGGTTAGGGTTAGGCCATAATTTCAGGAACAAATACAGCGGGAGTCACTTGGCTAGTCCCCGAACTCGTAATAGAACTAAAATAAGGAAAATTGGAAAAAATTATGGCTTAACCATGACCTGGTACACATACTAAGTTCTCGTGTCCGCCATCTTGGTGCACATACTATGAGAGAATTAATATTGTTTAATGATGGAATTCACAATTTTTTCATTTCATGCGAACTAGACCATCTTGAGTGAAGATTCAGCAGGTAGTCACCCGGAAGTAAAAGATAATTATCTCAAATGTAAGCAACCAAAAGTAAAATACACTCGTCCCGAGCAAAGTTACACATAAGCACCTCACTCAGTAGTACACTGAAGGGCATTGATAGAGTACAGTAGTACAGCCCGCACTTACTCAAAAGTGAAGGCTTCCTCACTTAAAAAAGCAGACTTATCATGAGTTAAGTTTCGCAAAAACTGTCGCTCAGATGTCAAGGACGCTTATTTTAAGTAAAGTCATATGCAAGCACAAACTCGAATGCTCATCCAAAATGTTTCTATTTTGAGGAGTCGCCCCAAAAATTTATTTCCAAGCCTCATGTCAAGTCAAGCCTCCAGTGGTTAGTAGAGCTCGAGTTGAACAAGTGTCATTTTGCTGAGATGGCTCGGGTTATATTGAGTCCTTGAAAAAAATGGTTTGGCCCCACTGTTGGATCAAACCAAATAATAAGACATCCATGGCTCTCCATTCTTACCTTTGAAAACCCTTGTCTACCAGTCGGAGGTGTTCCTTCTGCAGCTTGCTTCACACTGCATACCATAATATCAACTAATGCACTTTCTTGTCTCGAATCCATTTGATCTCTATCATTGGCTGGTTCCTCCAAGAGTAAGTCACTCATGCAATCCCAATCCTTGAGCATATTAGAAGCTACGTCCCACAAGGAATCAACGAGATAGGTTGCATGTTCATGGAGCTGAATAAAAAGGAAAATATGAGATAAGTCAATAAAATGTACAAAAAGACGTTTAGTTTGGACGAGGACATGGAAAGTGATATTCAATGAGATATATTTGCTCTGAATAAGACCCTATAGCTTTGCTGAGAGCGAGGCCGGAAAAGAACTCGCTGATATTAATAGAGATATCTTTGCTCTGACAAGTGGAGAAGCCAGAAATTTTCTTAACAGAAAGTTACGCTGGAATTAATAAAACAGTGTACCAAAGGTGCGACTTGCAATGTTGTGAGGTGTCCTCACATTTATTAAAGAGCACCAATTGCATTGCACATTGCTAATAGCAACTATCAAAAAGATTTTTGCTCTAAAAAGTTAGCTACTGATATGTATAGGTCTCTGCTCGGTACCAGAACCCAGACAGACATATAATCAACATGTTGTGAATGTATGATTTCGGGAATGATTAAAATATTCTCTAATTCTCAGACACGTGACATTCAGTAAACTGCTTTTAACATTTGGTTACAATTTTGCTAGCATTGCGCTGGCCTAGTTTTTCATTTTTGTACCTATATTTGAATATTGTTCTGTTGATAAAAAACTTATTGAGTGATTATTCAATTTTTTCAAAGCATAGGAGAAACTCTTACCTCACTCTCAATGAAGAACAACACGAGATCAGTAATGAGAGGAGCATTTGGACTTCTTCTTCGCCCTCGTTTTGTGTATCCTGGAGTCACCTCCTGTTAAAACAGAAAAAATACTTTTTCCACTTTGAATGGTGACAATCGAAATCAAATTATTCAAATGAGTACCCCCCCATAGTATGTGCACCAGGTTAAGCCATAATTTTATTCAAATTGTCCTTATTTTAGTTCTATTACGAGTTCAGAGACTGCCTGTGTTAGCCAAGTGAATATACCCACTGCCCATATGCTTCACTCCTTTTACACAACTTGATGTAAAATAGGCAAACAAAATTAGCTACCTCCATAGTCCATATTGGTATACACACTTCAGGAGCGCCTTCAAATGAGCTCGTAAAAAATCCAAGTTGCAAGCGTTCTCAGCAATGATCATAGAAGGCTTGTACTGTGTAAACTTTTGGTATTTGGCATGGAATTTTCCATACATTACCTTGTTTGCGAACAATTGCTTGTTGAGAAACTCGGCAGCAGCTATGGCAACAGGTCGATGCACAGAATACACAAGCTGATAAACACTTTCCGAATCATTTGAAGACAAAACTGGAGTGTCATATCCACAATGACTGAAAAGTTGAAACAATAATTACTTGAGGTTCACAAAACCCTATATCTGCACAAACAAAACCTCGCATTTATTCGCCTGACATATAACAAAATGCAATTTGAATTAGAGCACACAATATAGACCCAAGTGCAAGGGGGGCTGGCACCTTCTCCCGTGCATGCCTGGGATTCTAATCAATAACCTTCCAAATTTCTTTGTCAGTTGCACACTAGATGGCAGGGATAACATGCAAGCCAGTATATGAATGTAGCGCTTGATAGCGAAATACAGTTTATTTCATTTCATAAACCCTGAACAAGGCGCTGTATATGTAGCCTCTGATAAAATGTGATAAACTACTATTTTTTGAATTCATGCAGTTCGGTGGTATTGGGACTTGAATCAGGGCACACAGAGCAGAATTGGCAACCAAATGTGCATTCATATAAATAAGTCTTCTGATCAGCTTAGCCCTCTAAGCTCTCCACAACAGTCATACTTACTCAAGAATTAAAATCAAGAGCTTGATAGCCAGAACTGCAACATCGTATTCCTTATCCAATGTCATCGACACAATTCTATCTTTGAATCGACTCGTGAATAATTTCAAATCCTTCGTCATTTCATCGTCTCTGTATAAACCTTGTAACGTCATGAGGCACTTCATACGAACTTCTTTTTGCTGAGGAAGAGAAAAATAAATGATGCTAATCGGAGATGCGAAGTAAAAAAATTGACTCCCGACTTGATCTTCTTCAGATTCTTCAACTCTGACTACAGAAAATTTTGACTCACACTTCAAAAAACTTAAATTTTGATACCGAAAACTTCGGCATATGAATGCTTTTTTAATTCTGAGTTGAGAGTGCTTACTTAACTCGATGCTTTGAATTGAGTTTATTTTGAAAGATGAATTTCTATTATCCTTAGAATTCTGACTTGGTAGAATTCAAGATTTTGACTCAGAGAAGTGTTATTAACTATAATTCTGGTTCTTACTTCTTAGTTTGAAAATATGATTTCAGCTTCGATGAATTTTAGAATGCACCTTCGGCTGATTACAAAATACCACTCCAGCATGATTAATTCCATTCTTTACCCAGAAATTTTGATACTCCTGAAGTATGTGCAACAAGATGGCGGACACCGGAACGTAGTATGTGTATCAGGTTAGGGTTAGGCCATAATTTCAGATACAAACACCATGGTATTCACTTGGCTATTCCCTGAACGCGTAATAAAACTAAAATAAGGAAAATTGGAATAAAATTTTGGCCTAACCCTTACTTGGTACACATACTATGTTCAGGTGTCCGCCATCTTGTTGCACATACTACGGGAGCATCGAAATTTCACCCATTAATTAGTCTATTACATATGATAAAAGCTGATTTAATAATAATAATAAAAGCTTAAATGTGCGAGCTTGTCTATTTCTGTGTTAGGTTTAACACAATTTTATTACCTCAAGAGTTTTACCAAAGAATAACTTTCAAATCAAAACATGATGCTATTAAAGGACAAACAGTGTACGTCAGCAGGGTCAAATGTCAAGGCTGTTTAATGCATTTTTAGACACAAATCACCACAAATAATAATTACCTTATCGTGAAGAGTCCAGCCAACATATTTCAAGTAACTGTCGGTCAAGAACACTTTGGGAAACATTTTCATCCAAACCCCTATTTCTTCCATGCATAATGCTCGAATATCAGCAATGAAATCACGATAACGATGAACAAAAATTCCCTGAAAACAAATAAGAACAGAAATAAGGAGGACTGGAATAAACTGAGCTGATATAACATCAAACACCAAGCCCTCGGCAATAGCGCTACAGTGCTGTTTTAATGGCAACAAAATTTTGAAGAAAATGCAATAAAATAAGCGATTATTCAATAGCCTGACAGGCTGAGTGCTGTTTTAATGGCAACAAAATTTTGAAGAAAATGCAATAAAATAAGCGATTATTCAATAGCCTGACAGGCTGACACAGGGCTTGTTGACTGGCGGACTGTGGTCCGAATCCGTCCCTTCTGAGTATTCTTCAATCTTTATTTTGGATCATTGGCCCAACTTTGGATGTGTGAAGGTTTCCTTTTATTAAATGACTTTCATGGTTTCAATGATTGTTTTATAAACTCGAAAAAAGTGCACGTTTAAAGATGTCGAAATATAATTTCTAGAAAGACCGGACATCAGTAATTTTGAAATTTTGTTTACAGATCTTTGGCAAATATAGATGAGAAACCTTGGCCTAGCAGTTAAAGAGTAGTTCTTTAAATATAGTTAGATACAAAATGGATGCTTGTACGGAGACTCGTTTGAAGTAAAAGGCATTGTATAAAAAAATGTAATAACATTCAACATACTCAAATGTACAAACCTTGAAGATTCCATTAAGCATGCTTTCAATCTCAGTTTGTTGATCTTCAAGCTACAGAATAATATAATGGTGATTTTCAATAAAAAAATTTCATGAAAAATTCAGAATTATTGGAAATGTTGACATCAATATAATCATAATAGACCTATGGGTAAAACCACTGGAGTGTTACTTTCTGAGTACGAATACTGCCATACTGCTGGTCTCCAGAGGTCATTAGTACATTGGTACAGCAGAGGCAACATGTTGCTTTTGTCTGGCTTTATATTATGTTATTTGGGGTTCATTTGAACTGCTTATGTGCTCAATAAAACATTGATTTATACCAATAGACATGCAGGAATTTATTCATGGTAATTATGTCTTTGATTAATTTAAATCAAAAATGCAAGCCACATCGAGAATTAGTGACTATACAATAATTCACAGTTTGCCATATCATTCTCCTACATTGATATTTAAATAATAAATTTAAACATAAAACCATTCATACGTCTTTTCTTTTTTCGAGGAGCATGTCCAACTTCTCTGACGCTCTTTTATTTGCAGATTTTGCTCTCTCTCCCTCGTACTGCCTCTGAGTATTGTCCAAACTCACACTCAATTGGAGTGCAACATTCACAAGTGCTGTCATGAGTTTCATGGCTAAAAAAAACGAGAATATCGGTCAGAGACTGAAGACTTATCGATCGAAAGTTAGGGGATCCCCCAAAACAGCGTCCTTACTCCATAGTAACACCTTGTGTCCCATCACTAATTAATTAATACCTCTCTAATTATACGACATAATTCGCCCAAAATCAATAGGCTTCTGGTCCGAGATATGATGAATGCACATGCAAAATCTGGAGCAGATTCAATCTCGCTTTCGTGAGATATCACGTGCATCTAACAGACAGACAGACATACAATGAAATATCTATCAACATACTTACGGATTAAAATCGATAAGTAACAATTCAATAAAATTTAAGGAAATTTTTTAAAACATTTTGTTCCTATAGAGAAACTACTGATCCCGAGGGAGAGCAACAAACCGACTCTCTCTCATATGCAGATCCATAAATTTACATAGTGTACCACACAGCTACCAAGAGTTCATTATTAAGCAAGCAAGTCGGGGCGGACAGAACAAAGTCAAAATGAGTTATATTTGCCATTTTAAATTTAAGCATAACTCAATTTATAAGTAAAGTAAAACTAGAGATCAAAGTAAATCATTGATTATTTCAACTTTGCTGCATTTCAAAATCCAAGCACATTGACTTCTATTCGACACCTCAAAACCAAACAGTGCTAAGTCCACTTTTCCAAAAAATGACATTTTTCAATTGCTGATTTTCCTGGACTTAGCTCTACATTTTGGTCTATTTTCCTTATCTCTAGGTGCTCTAGATCTCAAGACAGCTATGGACATAACCAGTGGCGCAACCAGCGGGGGGGGTTACGGGGGTCGTGTCCCCCCCGTTTGAATTTATTTTTTTTTATTATTGTTCTACGTTAAAACAACGTCGTTCCACGGTCATAACAATCCGGTGAAAACTACTTTTTTCCAGTGCGTTATCACCTCGACATAATTTAACACCGCCCGACTTCAATCATACCATTTTGCTGATAGTTACGTAATAATCGCTAACCCCGCGTATATGTTTGTATTCGAAAATGAGATATGTTATCTCAAAAAAGTAGAAATCGCGCGCTGTCGATGTGAATTGAAAGCGACAATAGCATAATGCTATCTCTCTCTCTCTTGTGACGAATACTCTCGTGCTTCATCATCTTGACGCAATGTAACGCCGCCCGTCTTCATGTTATAATAATGCAGTAGGAACTCTGAAAATCTGGATACGAAAATTATTTTCGGAAAAATATTGCTTCGAATAACCTAAGATTTTCTACATATGAAAGGCCGAAAACCGAAAACGCCGTAAATATCCTACCGCCCCCGTCCACATTCTGATTTAAAAACATTCCACAATTATTTCATTTTTTATCGCAATCGAAAGCAGCCATGTGTGGCACGGCAATAACTAACAGTCGTCGTGAAAGGTTTTCAATAAACTCTGACTTGAAGTGCTTATAAGACGTCGAGGACGTTTTTGGTTGAAAATTTTTTACATTTGTTATCGTATATTTCAATTTAGTCAAGATATGTTGTGCGTCTCGGCAATAAACTTAAAAGCAAATCCTGTCCTAATTAATTGTTTTCATCCTCAGTTTCGATAGTTATCGAACCTAACGGGAAATTTTTTAATTTCTTGCAATCTATAAAATAGCTTCTAAATATTATTTGGTTTCTATCGGAGATTTTATCGTTATCCCGAGTCCTGACGTCGTTGATAACAATATCGTTCATTTTAAGTTGGAGGTATTGGTTTATAATCAAAAAATTATAACACATAACATGAAAAATTTAAATCAACGCTGACTCAAAAAGTAAAACACGTTTTTCCATCTTCATTCTCCATTATTGGCGGACGGAAATTTGGGAATCGGGTTTAACTAATTTGATTATGATGACGATGGTAAACAAAAGTACACAAACATACCATACCGTTCTTAGTTTTTAGTCGTTATTTCTCTGTCCTTTCTTCTTTCTATGTGCATATTAAGATCATAAAACGTGTTTTATTATTGAATTCTGCGCTGATTTGAATATTTCATGTCGGCTGTTATGTATTTTTGTTTGTAAATGAATACCGCTAACTTTAACTGAACTGATGTTGTTATCAATGCCGGATGCCGACGAAATCCGCGATAGATATTAAATACTATTTAAGAGCTATTTTATACGCGCTAAATTAGAAGAAATGAAAAAATTTCCTGTTATGTTCGGTCACTATCGAAACTGAGGATGAAAACAACTAATTAAGACACAATTTGCCGAGGACGCCTAAACCATCTCGAATAAGTTAAAATACCCGATAAGAAAATATTTTCAATCAAAAACGTCCTCGAAGTCTTATAAGTCCTTCAAGTCGGCGTTTATCGAAATTCTTTCATGTCAGCTGTAATATATTGCCGAACCACACATGGACGACGACGCCTAGGATATGTGCGCCATATTTGGGATTATTATAAACACGAAAAAACAGTATTTGAAGTTTGCGATATTTGAATTTAAATTCGATTTGGACATCCCTGCATTAAATTAGTCAGTTTTTAGTTGTGTTTCCAAAAATTAGTTGTAAATCAATTATTTTAATTGTCATTATGTCTTCCGGTGAGCTTCAGTTTAGTTTAGAATTTTTCCGGGGTTAAGGTCGGGAAAAGGTTCATTCGCAAGAAGTGCATTTTGTTTCTAGTCTTGACGAATTCACCCAACGAGCAAGGCGCGGCACGAGGGAAACATTGGAATTTATTCAAGCCGTGTTTCACTGTCCACGAGGCGCAAAGCGAGGAAAACGTTGAAAATAATTAACAGCTTTTCGTTAGCAATTTGCTGGAATGTAATGAACGGCGTTTTGCTACCCACGAGGTGCAAGACATAGCGAAGCGCCGTTAATGAACGAGTGCAAGGTAAGCGAAGGGCTGGGATTTAATCGATGGCGTTTCCCTTTTAACCATGAGCAATTCATCGTGGTCAGCGGGGCGACACCTAGTGGCGTTGCGACTTACGTCGTGGTTGCACTGTGTAAATTCCGGTCGGACCCCCCCCGTTGAAAACGGCCTGGTTGCGCCACTGGACATAACCCTGCTTTTTTTAGGGCATTTGAGAACTAAACAGAGCTGTGTCTACTATAGTGGACTTAGCTCTGGATAACTGCATTGTAAGTTGGGGCTAAGTCCGTTTTTTGGACATAGCTCCTCTCAAAAAATATAATACAAAGCGCTAAGTCCATACCAGCCTCTATAATAACATAATAAAAAGGCCCTAAGTCCAATAAAATTGTTTCTGGTCCAGAAAATTGAGAGCCAAAAAGGGTTAAGTCCAACCCCCCTAGCAACCCTAATGCACACAATTGTCCCCACTGCAGTCAAATCTCCAACAACACCCTACTTTCGCAACTAAACCTATAGTTATTGAGAAAATCAGTCAATTCTTACCAGCAAGAGTAGAAGTATGTCTGAAAGCCCGTACTTGTGAGTTACTTAATTCAGTCAGTAATGTCAATACATTATCCATCATAAATTGATCGTATATTATCTGATACTGACATTGACGTACGAGAGCCTGATAACGAAAAAAATACTTTGCTTAGAATACCGATTCTATTTTAGAGACGATGCGAGAGTTGGGTGTCGAGAAAATGTGTAAAAAAAAAACAAATATTTTATTTTAAATCAAAACAATTTATATTCATATTTTTAATTTTTGAATTGATTTTGAATTGTTTCATTCAAAAATATGCATTTTGAGAATCATCGTTTATAGTTAAACTTTGTGCATAAACAATTTTATTTTCATATCTTTTCTAAAAACATGTCCAAATTCAGAATATATTTATTAATAAATACTCATAATTCGAAATTTCCACTTCAGTTACGAGAAAATAGACTGGAGGAAATGAAATATTTATTTTTTACCTGAACAAAATCGGAGAAATTTGAACGAAACTTCTTAAAATTTGGTCCAGATGCAATCAATGGATAATCCCCACTATCCTGTGAATTTAGAGAAAAAATTATAAAAACTTAAGTAAACCATAATAACCAATTTTCAGCTGAAGGTTAATAGAATTGTACCGAACAATGTCATATTACTATAAGCGTTTACCCGCGAATTATTAAAGTAACTAGCAAAATATTGGATAAAAGATCTCATAAGATAAATTAAAAAAAAAATCTTTCCCTGAAGATTTAAAACGATTGATCTGTTACAGATTTAAGCGATTTTTAAATCCCAATATGAACAAAAACAACAATTTGGCAAATGATTTGGGAACAAAACTTATGTCAGAATGTAATAGGAACTTTAAAATCAAGAAATATTGGATCCATAGAACTTTGAGGGAAAAAATAGAAATTGAGTTGTAGGATGGGATATAGATATTCATCTCGAGGGAGAGGAAAGTCGATGAGACGACTTAACCATACAGCGAATCACGGCCTCTCGTCCGGTTACCAGTACAGGTCGGGTATGGGATTAGTTAGTTATTTGTTTTCGGAAGCGTGGACTTGGTGGTGGAGGAAGCCGTAACCGACCAGCAGTTACGTGAACCACCCTACGTTCTAGTTATGCCTTCCAGTTGCTTCAATCATCTTTAGGTTCTAAAAATTCCAAATGTTGAACGAGTTGAACACATTTATCTTTTAAATTCCAGCATATGATGAACGCTTCAACGTTTTATCTCGTAATATGACTAATCAAACCTCATCAAATTCTTCAGTCATTCTTTTAATAACGTCTTGAAATCCTTCTGAGGCCTCACGTAACATTTCTGGAGTTACAGTTCCTTTGCAACCAGATGCATTGATGAAGAATTGAATTAAATCTAGAAGAGCTTCATTTCGATCAGCCTGAAAAGGTAGATTGATTATGTATTGATAAAATATATGGGATTTTTTTGTTAGTAAGTCGATTGTTCAGTCCAAATTTTTCAACCTGACTTTCTGGGTTTGGCTCATTAGGCGTCCCGGCTTATTTTCCTTTTTACTGAGGTTGGCTTATTAATAGCTTTGGATCGGAAAATATCGGAAATGAGGGACAATGATGGGTATACCCATCAGTTTTTATAAATGGGCATTCTCCCTCTGTGAATATGGAATATCTCTGCAATGATTATTATATTTGATGTTGCCACATTTGCGTGTGCATTACGAGCAAAAGCAAATGAAGATTAACACTGCCATAACAAGATGATATTATTCTGACTCAACAAGTTTCGTTAATCCTCAGTCACAAAAGAGTGAAATAAATACTTCGCCAAGAATCACAATCACAAGTCATGTCCAATCACATGGCAAACCAAAGCCTGTCGTCCGATTACCATTCAGTAACACAGATACTGTGCAATCGCAATCATATTTCTAATGCTTAGCACAATGCGTCAGTCATCGAGATTCTTGTAAATATTCCGTTATACAACCTTATAAGCTTCGATCCAATCGTCAACTACAGCAGTCATTGCCATCTTCCCTTGTCGTACAACTTCAAACAACGTAGCAGGGACATCGCTGTCTTGTTTTGACCTTTTTTGAGCTTGCTGTAAAAAGAACATTGATTTTTATTAGAGCTCGACCGATATCACTTTTTGGCACCGATACCGATAACGATATATCGGCCAACTAGTGACCGATAACCGATATCGACATACCGATATCTACAACCTGAACCCGCAGTAAATACAAATAGAAAGAAAAATTCAGTTTCAGTCAATCAAAAGTTTATGTTGAAAAATAAAGCAGTCCTACACAGTGCTTGCATCATTGATAAAAGTTTCACAGCAATTAATAAGAACACACATTAATGCACAAAACAGAAGACAAAGTTTGAAAAAACCAAGCACAAAAGAAAAAGGGCAATCAGTAAAAAGCTTACAGAAGTCCATTTTGATCCATACAGTAGTAGGTGGGGACTAGGCTTGCACATAATTTAGGGAATTACGTAATTATTTCGAGTTACGGAAGGGAAGTTACAAATTACGTAAAGTCACCACCCCGTTTGAGCGTTTGGTTTCACGATCAAAACGATATTATTATGAGCGTTATCACCCGTCACCGTAACGCAATTATCACCAACATACTTTTTTGTCTTCACGATTTAGTATCTTTTTTATTCGGCGCTGATAACGATAAATAAGAATGTGTGATTGTAATTCCGGAAGGCGTATTTTTCTTTCTCTCCTTGAAACAGACATGAAACGAATTTTACCGCCGCTATGGAGCAAAGGAAGAGAAGGCTACTTTCTCTTCCCGACTCAATCACTTTTATTAATACAAATTACAGCACATTAAAAAACAAAATAGAATTTATTAGCATTAATTTACAACGAGTTACGGGTAAGAATTCACCGCCGGCTAAATAATTAATATGTGATCTAAATTTATCGCAAATAATGTTATAACATTTAGGCCGCAAAATGATTTGATATAAAATGAAGCTTGGTGGAAGAAGTGGATTCAAATGGTTTTTATGATAGGTTTAAATGCGTGAAAAAATATCGCAATTACGGGGTCATTACGTAATCGATTTTGCCGTAATTACGGAATTGATTTTTGTCGTTTACGTGCAAGTCTAGTGGGGACGCAAGATATTCGAAGGCGAGGATTTTGCGCCGCACGAAGAGATAAAAGAGAGAAATATAGAAGCGAACTCTCTGTTCATTGAGAGGCAAAATGAGAGAAGCGAAAAAAAGAAAACGCTCGGCCGCAGATATTTTCCGGGGAAAAAGACTCATTTTTTAGAACGTGGAAAAGCGACTAACGCTGATATATATCGGCCAGATATATCGGCCGGTGGGGCCGATATGATATATCGGCAAACACGCAATATCGGCCCGATATATCGGTTGGCCGATATATCGGTCGAGCTCTAATTTTTATTCATAAAATTTTTTTTTTATCAACACACTAAGTCACTGACATGAGAAAAGTACCAGGAAAAATTACTTTAGAAAACTGGACAACCTATAGAGCAGGGCACAGTTATCCAATTTCAAGATGATATTTATATCCATCAAACAAACACTCTATTTGTTTTGGAAACAAAGGTGGGTGGCATAACGACAGATCACAGGATCGTGTCATGTATTTCAGGCAAATAATATTATAAATTGATTCAGTAATTCAGCCACATCACTGAAATGCATTCCTGAAAACTGCTTTTGGTCATAAATAGTAAAATATTTTTCCTTCCATAAATCAGATTATTTATTTTCAGAGAATCCAATAAAATGCGTTTTTTAGTTTGTTTGCAGTTTTCTGATTTTTTCGTGTTATAGCTGTATAGTGATATTAAGGGATGAAATTGGACCTGGGGGACGAGCCTAACTTAATGCTGTAATGAATAAGTTAAAAACACACAAGTCCAGAAGTCTGCAAGAACTCGCCCGCCTGCCCGTTCACCAAAAATAGTCAAAAGACTAAAAGAACACAATACAATAAAGACACAATACTTCAATACGGCAATACAAGATCGGACAATACATTTCAAATAAATAATAAACAAATTAGGCTATGAGACACTGATCAAAGGAAGATCATGGCAATACTTTATACTGTCTGACTGATTATAAAACTCCAGAACTTGAGAACTCAGAAACTAGAATTCAAAAAAGAAAAATATATCTGTATATTGTGGTCATAATAGCATGACACCATAATGTAAATTTATTCAAAATACTGAAATACAAAAAGTGAGAATTTTTTTTTCACCATTGCTCTTCCACCTCCTCTCCCTCTTTTTCTTCCCCCTCCTCGAACTACTTGATCTTCTTCTTCGAGTTCACTATCACTACCAGACCCACTTTCGTCTCCACCGCCCATTTTTTTAAGTAATATTCTTCTATTTGGTTAGAAATTACAGAACTACTGAACTACGAACAAACCACCGCGGCAAACAGCGATACTGTATAGATAAACAACAGAGTGCGCGGCAACTTCGCATAAAAAGTGGTGAGCGGAGTCAGTGATGACAGAATTTGAAACTCAAGATTGACTCCGGTAAAAAAAAAAATACGATATTTGATGACGACAATTTTAGTTACGGTACTTGAAAACTCAAATCAGATAAAAATTTACCACAAAATCAATTTTTCCAAAAATAAAGTTTATTTAAAGCAGTTGAAAACTATTTTCAAGATATACCAATTATAGTTATTTTTAACAGATTTCGAGTGGATAGAAAGATAACCAAACTGCCATTCTGGTCTGGTGAGACGGTATCATATAAAGAAAAAAAATTTATAAATTGTATATATATTCAAAATAACGTACATACTCAATTGACAATCCCAATTTTAGAATACGCCTTCCGCAACTACGGGGTCGCGAAGCTCTCCGCTCTGGGTTGCAAAACACGTTAAATTTGCCATAAATATGAGCATAGCGTCAGTGTAGCATATTTATGTATAACAACTTTAAAAATCTCTGATTTAATTATGAGTGTTTCTCCGAGTATAAACTTCCTTATTTACTGCCGTAACAATGGCCAATCAGCATAAAGTACAAAAATTAAACGTTTCAGAAGCTTTCAGGTATTTGTCATTCATACAGTCTTTCGCGGTTGTGGATATTACTTCGTTTTGGCGGTTTCGCGGGCTATTTGTCAGTTTTTAGTTGTGTTTTGGTAAATGTAAGTCCTAATCAAACAACTCATTAATCATTTTGTTCTGTGGGAGTTTTATTTTAATTGCAGTAATCAAAAATTAATCTAGAAATAGCTGTGATAGACTAGTCCAAACTTCTCTACGCACATTTAAATGAAAGGTTGTTGAATGCATTGAATTTAAATGATAGTTTGAAACATAAAAAATCGGTTTATAAGCGCCACCTCGCAAAACCATTATTGAAATATGTATAATGAGTAATAATAATAATAATAATGAGTAAACATATGAATAATGTTGACAAACTAGTTACGGAAGAATATTTCAAAAAAACGCGAGCAGAAGGTACAAAGGAGAAATTAAGTGAGAACAGAACAGCGCATGCACCTTCAAACATCTTTGTGTCTTCAAGCAGTGGAGATCAACGCCCGATAAAGACTTATCTCCTCACCCTCATCGGATAAAAATACATCACTCAAACCATCCTTATAAGCGGAAGTACAGCGAATAATTTATAAAGCTTGATTTCACGTGTATTCATATAAATTATAAATGATGAGTCACGTCCTCAATGTGTTGTTTGTTCCGATATTCTTGCCAACGAGAGCCTGAAAGCAGTAAAATTGAAACGCCATCTTACAGCAAAGTATCCAAAATTCATTGACAAACCAATACCTTTTTTCCGACGATTAGAAAAAGAATTGTTAAACGAAAAGAAAACAATGACAAAGTATCTTAAGCAAATAACAAGATCGGAGCTTTCAAAAAGAAAATTCAACACTGGACTGCCCGAGTCAAAAATGGAAGAATGGATATGTTTTCTGAGCTGAACGTTTTTTTTTTCCGAAGAAAACGAGTTCAGTCAAAACATAGTGAAACAGTGCATATTCAGTCATCTTCATGACTTTCGCAGTGGTTTAATAAATATTTCCCGAAAACACAACACCACAGCAACACGACTGTATATTATCACCTTTCTCAGTATCAAATCTATCATTAGATTTGATTGAAGCATTCGATGACTTGTCAAGTGATCGCGAGTTGAAGATCGCATTTGATGGCAAAAGAAGTTTGGCTGAATTTTGGGTGCTCCCGAAGTATGCGAACCAAGATGGCGGACATCGGAACGTAACATGGGTAACAGGTTAGGGTTAGGCGATAATTTTTTTTCAATTTTCCTTATTTTAGTCCTATTATCAGTTCGACGACTAGCCAAGAGCCTCCCGTAGTATTTATACCTAAAATTATGGCCTAACCCTAACCTAGTACACATATTACATTCCGATGTCCGCCATCTTGGTTCGCATACTTCGGGAGCCCCGAATTTTGGATTTCAGTTGCAAACGAATATCCGGAGTTATCAGCTGCCGCAATGAATGGTCTGTTGCCATTAGGAACTACCTACTTATGTGAAAAGACCTTTTCTGCGTTTTCATACATAAGAAACAAATACAGATCAAGGCTGAAAGTAGAAGAAAAACTTTTGGGAATTGCTGTCTCCCAAATTAAACCTCGAATTGATATCTTGTGTTTCAAAAGACAAAGCTAATATTTCGCATTAGTCATAACAAACGCTATTATTCACGATTTTATGTGATAAGTTTCATATAATTTTGTACAATAAAATTGCTAGTGTCAATAATAGTCTTAAAATCGATAACTAATCACATGTTTACCAAATGCTTGGGACGCGAAAAATTAGAAAAATTTTTTTTTTTTGGGTCGCGCTAAAAAGTAGTTGCGGACCCCTTCTACAATAATGTGACGTGATCCGAAGACGCTCTTACTTACATTAATGTAAGAACACAATTGCAATGGTAACTATTAACCATTCGTTCGCGTTCGACCATCGCACTCTTTATGGGTGAAAAATGTTCGTGTTTTGTGGTATGTGTCCGCGAATATTTCAAGAGCTTTTAGGGGATAAAATGTGTATTCGCTACTATTTCTGTATTTGCTGTTGTTTGCTGTCTGATTCAGTTTTTTTTTTATCTGATGAAGGCATACTTCTGGTTCCGAATACATATATTGCAATTGTATAATTTACAAATACAAAAGACAGTTCCAAGTCATGACTGATGAGCCAGACAAAAAAAATACCAAGTTGCACTGCAAGCCCGCACGAGTTCGTTAATTACTCGTCCATCGTTATCCTTTCTCTCTCCGAACGAATGATCGCTTGATCGAATGATCAGGGCATGACGCGATATCGTCATGTAACCTATAGGTATGGGACGTCTAATTGTTACGTATCTTAGGATTAAGAGCTTTTTCCTCATTTAAGATTAGAATGACTTTAAGTTTAAACACGTAATCTATTAACCAAAAGCAGCAAAATTACCCAATATCCTGTAAGCTATATAGTGTTCCGCGATATAAAAAAGGGTTGGGAACCACTGCTCGAGTTGCTCTAATAATTCTGCGTCAATATTACATGAAATAAATACTTGATTTTATTGTCATGCAAATTGTTTCAATCTTTTAACTTAATTCTGAAAAATCCCTGGATTATACGGCTCAATCCCGGGATATCCCGATACCGGGATTTCAAAAACTGGCCCCGAAACCCCAACCCCACTCCTGATGGCCGTAGAGTAATTGCTTTTTCAGTTACGGCATTCTCCAACACCAAGATCACACATCTGAAGCGAGTAGCTGTTTCTATATCCGACATGAACTAGTAGCCAGACAAAATCCCGTGATTCGCCATATAATTAAGTGATTGACTTTTCTATCTCGGGATATCCTAGCCCCGGGGTTCTCAAACTGGGCGTCGCGACGCCCAAGTGCGTCGTTTCAATCTTGATAGGGCGTCGCAAAACTTTTCTTCTTTTGCGGATTTGTACCTGCGGTGCGTAGAAAAAGTCAAAATTTTTGTTATTCTCGTTTAAATCATACTTGAGAACTGGAAATGACAATATATTAATTATTGTAACGATTGATCTTATCTATATGTGACTTGACAAACATCACGGATCATTCAATACTGTTCCAATTATGACATCGCACAGGCTGGATCAGATCGAGTCATGTATGCCGTTCATTTCTAATTCTTTCATGAACATGGGAACATCAAGCGTTGTTCAGCACTTCGTCTGCGCGTTAATCTAAGCAGTTATTTAATATTACACCACATCAGTTCTCTTCAGGCATAATTTAAATAAAACTCACTGTAAAAGAGGTCTCCTATTGAAAGGTATCCAGACATTTTTCACGGGGAGTCGCAGCTCGGCCATATTTTTTGGAGGGCGTCGCAATACCAAGAAGTTTAAGAACCACTGTCCTAGCCCATGAATAGTGTCCACCAGAGGTCACAAGCGGTAAGTCGTGTTTGTTTGGTCGCTCTTGCACGAGAATGAAAAATTCGGGGCGGTTACGATTGGTTTAGTGACGAAACGCGCATTGTCTCACTTGCTTGCTTATAGTTACTTCAAATCTGCGCTGATTTGTAAATTGTTATTTATGTTCAGAAACGTATCTGAAATTGTTATTGACAAAAGTGAATATTAAACGTACATTATACAAAAAAAACACAATATGTGTTTTGGACGGATCAAATTTCGCAAATTAAAACTTTTATGAGGGTCATTTAATTATTTAAATTCGGTTGGAAATTTTGTGCGGCATGTATGTGAGTGAAAATCCTTGTCTTATGTGGCGAGATTTAAATCGGCAAAATGAATGGAACATTATTTTGTTGGCAATAAAACGAGTTGTTAGCAAGTGTGACAGAAAGGGCATAGTTTAATAAAAATATTTTTTATCCATATCCCATCATACTATATTTAACGTATATGATCGTTTTACCGCCCGATCTTGATTAAGGGCGCGCTTGAATACCCGCCCGATGTAAAAGCTGATTTTTCAGTGGTAGAGAACACTAGGAAATGAGAAGCGCTTCTGTCACAACGCTGTTGAATTTTAAGCGCTGATAGATAACCCTACCGCCTCAGGCGTCCAATCACATAACAGATAGCATTGATTACGTAACAGCGTGGTTCTCAAACTGGGCGTCGCGACGCCCAAGTGCGTCGTTTCAATATTGATGTTGATGAGGATGATAGTTTTGATGAAGAAAATAACGGTACACTTGCTGAATAAATAAAAATTTTGATTTGTTGTTTCTTGTTAATAATATAAACTAGGGCCCGGTTAGTGAGTTTGGGTAAATAAATTTGGGCGCGGGTTACAAAACGAGCAAATACGGTATTCAAAAAGAGAGAGAATGATTCTACAAAAACAATGTCGATAGAGATAGTGTGTTATGTGTAGCCAAGCTGTTTGCTTCGACGAGACAAACTATTTTT